CATAAACTGGAAACTGTACTAATACAAATTATTTAGTTTAGTAGTAGAAGAATGACTTGCAAGAAGCTAGCTACCTTACACAAGGAAGTTCTGGACTCCTCTAGTATTAATAACAATGAATTCTAATGTTTAGACAGTTGTGTAAATACAAATTTCATACATACACTTACAGGACGCAAATCAGTCTCCAGTGCATTTGACTGCATTTCAAAAGCGTAACTGCTAGATTAGTGACTGTATTGTGGGTCCTCCTGTCTTAATTTTAAATAAAAGCACTTTCTGCCAGTGTGTTTTATGTAGAGCCTAGTCTTGTGGATATGCATCACATGTGCTCTGAAGCTCTTTTCTAGTAACTGCAGATGAACTTATATTTGTACAACCCAGTGGCAGGTTAGTGTAATATCAGGATTAAGATGTTTAGACTCTCCAAGATTGAGGGGTTTTGACACTGATGCAGAATGTGATTTTCCATCTTGAACTTAGGGCCCATATAAATTTAGGCAAGTACTGAGACAAAGGTCACAAATCTCAGGTGCATAATGTTCAGTGGTACATACAGTTTCGTGCATATGGCCTTACCAATTGCTTGCTTCAGATCCCTGCATCTTAGAAGGTCTGAAACATATATGTGCAAATGGCAGGACTTGGCAAAGAGTCAGCATAAAACAGGAGATGAAAAAATCTTCACATGAAAATACTAAAAGAGAAAACAGAAGTTGTGAAATCAAAGCATATCCCTTTGTCTTCTTATTTCTGCTTTCTAAGAAGAACTGAAAGTGTTACTACAGCTTCCATAAAGAAGGCTGCTGCCACCGGTGTTAGCATCAGAAAATAAAGAAACTCTCCTGAAAGCCTGTCATGAAGCACCCAAAGCCAGGGGCTGCAGAAAAGGTTGAAGGCTGGTTTACTGGAGAAGGATCTGTGTCCTTAGAAGTGAACCTGCTGATTTGCAGTACTCGGATATGATGCAAATATAGCAAGCACAGCACGCTTGTGTATAAATTGCATGTGAAATATTGCTTTTGAACAGGAAGTTTTCCTACCACAGGAAGCATCTGGAACTAGTCTGTGTTGCAGTCTAAGTAAGTATTACTTACAACACTACACAGAACAACTGAATGCAAAGCTTTTTTCAAGTAGCCTAGGAGAAATCTAGAGCTCCACAACCAGCCAAGTGGGAAAAGACATAGGTCAAAATATCTCACTCGTTTGGCAGCTATGTATTTTAATCAAATCAAGATGGATCTAGAGTACACAGAAGACTCATTTAATTTTTTTCCCCCAAAGAGGGTACAAAAAATTATCAGGTAGGATCAGGGGAAATTCAGATCAACAGGAGCTCTGATCTGTGGACACAGGGACAGATGCACAGACCTTCCCCACTGCTGTTTCATGACCAGGAGAATTGGCTTGTGTGAGGGTGGTGGCAATTGTGCATAATGTTGATGTACTCTGTTTCTTTCCTACCGTTCTCTCTCCCAGCTGAATCAAGGAATGTTCTTCAACATTTGTTCAGATGTTGAAAAAGAAAGTTAAAATGTCTGCCAATTCAGTTCGCAGCACATTATTGAATGCACGACTACGAATGCAGCGCAGGTAACAGCACCAAAGCCTTATATACCTCATACACAGAAGAGCTAATAATAAGAAAGCCCTTTTTTTTTCCAGTGTAACACTATGTTTCACCTCCTTCACAACAAAGACAAACAGTGAGAGACTTGCAACAGAAACTTTCCAAACCGTGATGCTGCTACGGGATATGTTAACTGAAATATACACACAGAGGTATCCAAGGGATGCAGATATCTCTTGTCATATTGTGAAGGCTCTGAGTAATCGCTCGTCAAATATTAACATTACATGGAATACTTTACAAATCAATGAAGAGGCCAGAACATGCTAGACCAATTTACCACAGCCTAATCAACCAAGTAAGCTCAGATCATTAAACTAATTATGAGTGGCCGAAATAATTAAAGATCCTTTCTCATGTGATGTTGTTGGAATTCTCTGTTACTGAACAGCTGCACAGTAAACACTATGCATGTGCTCAGACATTTGCTGGATTTGATAAACAACCCTTGTTTCTGAAAAATTTGGTAGACTTCTTGAGCAACAGTCAGTGACAAATAAGTACAAACAAGCAACATACATTCAGGGAGGTTTTCTTGGGAAGATAACTTCATGGGGGAGGGGAAGATAAAACAGAAACTGATAACTGGCACATAAGAGTGGCTCTATAAAACTGTGGGGTTCATTGACAGACAAATATTCCCTCTATCTTGTTTGCACAGAGCAAAAGTAATCTCTAATGACTGGATGTTATATTAACACAGCTACACACATATTTCCTGAGGATTTATACCATACAAGGTCATTTCTCATATTCGTGGTTAATCCAGAATAAAGTCAGAAAACAACTTGGCTTTTTCTGACAAACATTCAACAAATTCTATAGTCATATCAGTTGCAGCTTTCTGGGTATATTGATCCTCATTCATCATAGCTCTGCACACAGATGTAGATACACATATTTTAGTGTTCACAATCAACTCAAACATTAATATACAAACTTATTCTGGACTGAAATTAGGCATGCTAAATTCATTTTAAGGACTGTGTTTGCTTTTTATATTTAAAATACAGTCTGATTTCAGCTCATTAATTCTTTTCTGATTATAATTTTTACCCATTATGGGTCACATTCTACTTTTTTCATAGAGCACAGCATCAAACTTCAGAATTAAAAGCAGGTGCAAGTGTAAGACTTTGGCCAGGCCCTAAACATATTAATTAGGGTCAAATTTTTGGAAAAGCCACATGAATCTCTAACCTGAACTTAAGTGCTTTCCAACACAATCCATTCTATTATTCTGTGCAAATCTGGCCCAACAGTACTGTGTACAGGGTAAACTACCAGTCCAAATATCAGTCACTGAATGATTCTTCAAACCTTGAGAACATGTTTTTTGCTGAGGAAAATACTGTATGCTTAAAATGACAAGAGAGTTGCAGTCAAAGCCTTCCCCTAATCTCTCCAAGACTTCTTTCCCTACACTTCTCGTAAGTGTGGGGCCACCCAGACAGAAGGCAAGGCTAGATCCCACAATCCGGGAGCATGCACCATGCCAAGCAGGGCCAGTACAGGAGCCCAGACAACATTGTATCATCTAAGCCTGAGTCTGTCTGTCTTCTGTGAAAATGATGTCTGAACATCATTTTCACAAGGGTCAGTAACCTCTGTGGGAATGGTGGAAGTTAATGTTTTCCCTCTGTTCCCCAATTATTGTCCAGCTAATGATTAAAGAAATGCCTGGGAAAGAAAGAAAAGATGATGGTTTCAATCCCTAGGGACTGATGTGAACCTACAGCCATTTTCTGGGTGGTGCTGCTTTAGGTGGGATTAAAATTGTAGATTTGCAGTAAAAAAACATAAAGTTCACTTTGGTTTTGATATTGCTTTTTTATTAACTGCCCATGACAGAATAAGACAGAAATATTTTAAATCCAGAAAATACTCACATAACAATGATTTTCAGTCTCTTTTCTCCAGGGTTGGTAATGCTTGATACAGCATAGCACAATTCAGCAGATATAAAACATCCCTGATATCATAATCAGAAAAACTCTCAACTGAAGAATTAAGAGGTGATAAAAAGCATACAGTGTTCATATGTCAGCAAAAGGACCATATTTTATAGTTTATTGCAAGGTCAGGTTTTTGTTGGGTTATGGGAAGGGGTGTTTGGTTTCCTTCTGAAAAATGACCTGATAGGAAATATAGACAGGCAGCTATCAATGCAAAGCACAGCACTGTGAGGGGCTTGCACAGGAAATGAACTCCCATTCAGCCAGACCAAATACACACATCCACACGGATCTTAAAGAAGTTAGACTATGTGGGAAGTGAAGTTGTTTCTTGTGATTCCTGGCTTTCTGGTATAAAATGCTACTTAATTCCACACATGTATGTGTACATGCATGGAGGGAGAGAGAAATTTATCCTTGTGCAAATCCTCCTGGTAGGCCTATTTCTACAGAATAAGCAGATATGTATGTGAGGCTTAATCTATTAAGAAAGACAAACCTCAGTTGAAGGGTATTCAACAGAGATGTCATGGATACTTGTCAGTCACATTTCACTTATAACCAATCAATTCCTTTTCCCTTGGTCTCTCTCTACCTGTAATCTCTAATTATCTGACAAATCTCTTTTCATTGATGCCACTTCAGTTTGGACGATGATCTATTTCAGACAGCTTTTAAAAATCTCTCATATATAAGGCTTTTTCAACATTTATTTTACATGGCAAAATGAGAAATACTTTGTATTTTTTGTATCTCATAAATTATTTCATATGATTATTATATGATTTGACCCCATGAACAATTCAAAGAATTACCAGTGCATCTCCCACAGTACAGTGAAAACACTTGAAAGTACATACAGTTCACATGTGTGATATCAGGGTATATTTCTTGACCTACACAGATTTAGCCCAGAACTGACAGTAAAATAATCTAAAGTTATTCAAAAGTAAAGTCTCAGATTCTGATATATTATTCTGGTATCAGTCAGAAAAAAAAATCTACTCTGATTATAAATGCATATATTTTTGAGACCATATGACAGCAATGATATCCTGTCTCGTAAGCACAAACAGCTCAGTGTGTCAGAAAGCAAAGATAAAAGTTACTGGCACTAAATACTTCAGTATTGGGATTTAGTGGTCAGTTGAAAGCACCTAAGATGTGATCCTTAAAGTTCAACTGTCTTTACTTTGCATGCAGATAATTACTGGCACTGATGGCAGCCTTACAATAGATTAAGGAATGTGTTGCTCATAAACATTTATTTGTTGATACATACTATTACGTCAGAGAGGCAGCCATGGGGAGATCTGTCCCAGATCCCACTAAAGCTCAATAGCCCTGGAGCGGATATGTTCTTAGCCAGAGAAAGGAGCCAGCTCATGGAAGGTAGAAATTGCAATTCTCATTACTGGATGCAAAGATCAGAAAAAATTTCTGTATAGTCTGGAGGAGAGGAGACTGAGGGTAGAACTTGTAGCAGTCTACAGTGAGGGAAAGTGGAGAGGCAGGCACTGATCTCTTCTCTCTGGTGACCAATGACAGGACCCAAGGGAACTGCATGAAGCTGGGTCAGAGGAGGCTGGATATTAGGAAAAGATTCTTCACCCAGAGGGTTGCCGGGCACTGAAACAGGCTCCCCAGGGAAGTGATCACAACACCAAGCCTGACAGAGTTCAGTAAGTGTTTGGACAAACCCTCTAGGAGAAAAAGAGCACAGAATAGGTTAACATCCACAGCACTGTACTGTAGGAATCCATTAGGCAGCAGGGTCAGTGTTGTATAAGGTTTGGCTTTCTTCATCCTACCTCTCCCAGTCCTATATCTTGGTTACCTTTGTAGCCACACCTGTTTCATACTGGTGATGCCCTGGTACTTTGCAAAAAAGTAATCACTTTATTTCAGATACCATGAAATGAAAACCAAAAAAGCACACTTCCTGTGGGCAAGAAGGACTGCATGGGACACAGAGGACACTAGGGTCAAAAGCTATGTAGCACAAACATGGCTAGTCAGGCATTCTCCAGCTGTGCTTTATTCACAAGCATAGACGTAGTCTGAGAAGAAGCCAAGCCAAAGCAGACCTGCTAGGTCACTGATACCGACTCCAGGCAAGCGTTGGGTAAAGTCAACACGAAACTGTTCACAGATGATGAAGGATAACAGGCACAAACTGGGAAGCATTACAAAGATGGTCATGATGACAGTGATCATGCAGTATGGCAGTAACAGACAAAAAATTATACACCAGTATCTCCAATAATCTTTACATTTAATCTATTGTTCACGAAAGGTGAAAAAGAGGTAAGTAGCTGATTGGGATTTTTTTTTTTTTAATTGTCTGTTTTCCGTGTTTACTTTGCTGTTTTCCAGCTAGGTCAAATAGCTGTCTCAACAGAGAGAATAGTTCACTTGGTGCAAAACTCACAGCCATTTTACTTTTCTTATCTCTGACATACTGTGTCTTTATCAGTAGAACTATGTAGATAATGAACCTATATCAAATGTAACCTTACCTAAAATATGTCATCTGTTTTATGTCAAAGTTGGCTGATTTACACCTTTGATCTTTCAGTTAGAGCATCCTGGCCAGCATTTTTAATAACTCACACTAGGCAGAATAAAGTCTGTGTCTGATAAAACAGGGGGGTAATCATTAATCTGTTTCCAAACAAACAGTGAGTTATAACAGCTCTTTAATCTAAAGATGATAGATCCTGAGCTGGAACCAAACATCTAAATGCCAGCCAAGTTCAGTGAAAAGCGAATACAGTGTATATGTCTGTGACATAGTTATTTTGTGATCTACAAGAAGTCATTCACTGTGTTGGAAGTATTCGAGTGAGACATCTATTCGTGATCAATTGGTGCACTTGCTATATGTTCTTCCCTTTTGAAAGACTCACTCTTTTTCTCTATTTATAAAGTTTCTTTCTTTATCTATTCAGTTATCTCAATGTCCTTCCAGGAACTTCAGCCTATTAATTAAAAGCAGATGGGCTGTCTTTCAGTACTGTAATCACTAGAGTATTTGAGATTACTCACTGGAGCACGCATGCCACCAGCCTGTATTTATGTATGCGAATGTGCAAGCTGTTAATGCCTTAATGGGTAAGTTCAGAAGGTACTGTGAATGAGGAGAATATATTGAGGTGAAAATTAAAAAATAGCAGTTTTATGGACTTGGGAGGCATTTCAGGATTTGCCCAACCACGATTAGATAAACTAAATATTCTCTTTCATGATGACTTTCATGGAATTCTTTGAAGACAGTAAATGAGCAGCAGCTCATGACAATCAGAAGAGGATTAGAGAATGCCAGCAAAATTCAATAAATATTCTGTTTAAAAGTTGAAGAATTACATATATGTAATTCCAATGCTTTGTTACCAACATTACAATAAGATAAAAAAATTACACTAAAACCACTCATTAAATAAAGAAATTACAGAAAAAAAATCTGCAGTGAGTGTTCTTATTCTAAAGGAGAATCAAAATGTTTGGTAACTTGGTGCTTTGTTAGTACAAGGGATGTACGTACAAGGTGGTGTGTCAGTCACCAAGGCCAATGATGAAATTAAGTATGACATCTAGACCAATGCACTTTTTGTCATTCTGCAAGTAGCACACTTCATATCTCATTTGTAATACCAAGACACAGTACACACTTAAAAACCAAATGAAAGCAGATTTCAAGAAATGTAATCATGACACATTGCAATTTATAAAAGCCTTGGCAAAAAAAAGCACCCAAAGAACTGAGGTCACCTTCAGACCTAGGGTATCTTATGAACTAAAGGCAAGCTTTCAGATTAGCCTTATTGGCCTTTCAGAACTGGTGACTTCAGCTTCATTTTTGCAAGTTTCTACATCTTCACTTTCTCAAAAGCCAAACCACAGATGAAATTGCTTTAGATCCACCTGGTATGCTTTTCTTTATAGGTGCTCCAAACATATTGAATGCCAGTTAACTTATCAAGCCATTGTGCACTAAACAATTTATTGAGTGAAGTTACAGATATACCTTCTTTCATCACCCCCCAAATCAGGGAAGAACAGAAAGCACAAACAAAGATGTACAGAACTTGGCAGGAAAACAGCAATATAAACATGTTATATGGACACACTGAGGTTGTCAGTGGTATCTAGCAAAATCTAGTCCAATAAACATTTTGATAAAATAGACTGCTAGCATAAGGCACAGAAGAAACATGAAATATTTCTGTATGATGATGAGAGTGCATCACAATAAGCTTACTAGCAGACCTACCAGTAAAGCAGAAGTAAGCAATCTGGTTTTGGTATGCCTTCAGCTGATTTAAAAAAATAAAATAAATAATAAATAAATAAATAAATTTTAAAAAAAGAAATCTGAAGTCATTTTTCAGTGAAAAGCATAATACTGTAATTATAAAGACCATATTTATTATAAATACTAAGAACATGTGCCAAAAATGTGACCAAATTATGCAACTGACCAAACTTTGAAAGCAGTTCCAAGGTTAGCCTGAGATGACTTTTTTGTTTCGCATGGCAACAAATGGATTACTGATGTTGTGGACTTGTCTTCGTGTATTGAGGTTCTTGAACTTACTGAATTTGTGACGAAGCAAAAAGTATAGTATAAAAGTGAAGTATATATAGGAGTTGGAAGAAATACTTCCAGAGAGAGAGGGTTATCTTGGCTTGGATTGCAAGGTAAATGTAAGGTAACTTTTATCAAGCTGTTCTGGGAATTCACAAAGACTTTGCAGGAGCTGCTTGCATTTTGCATGTGACTTCAATGATTACAGAAAACATGCCTTCAAGTGTGTTAATCTTTCCAGTAATCTTAACCTTGCTCAACTGATTTAATTTAATTGAAAGGCAAACCTGTATTTCCCATCTTCATGGATTCTTTTATCACACAAACTGGAACAGCACAGGATTGAAACATGTTCAAGCAAAAGTCTGTATAAATAGAAGACATCTTTCTGTTTCAGTGGACCTGGATAACGTCACTGTAATTTGACAGCAGTTTTGAAATAATTTAAAAATCTGACATCATACCAATGTCAGTTCTCAAAAATTCCCATAGAAGTTTGTAGGATCCATGTCTTAGTGCAAGAGTGTGTGGAAATACCAACACTGTGAGTGACCCTGGAGGACCACCGGTGTTTTAGTGCTGACAGTTCAGAACAGCCTGATTTCATTTCACCTTGAAGCCATGCAAAACAAGCACATGAACTCTTCCCATTTTCTCCAGGTGTATTTCAATTTCATATATTTCTCCTGTCCTACATGTTAAGAATGCCATTCATCTGACCTGCTTTTCACATTTGCTTCAGGATGAGATTAACTATGTGCTAGCAACACCTGTTTTCGCTGTGAGGGACTCCAGAGTCACTAACTCAGAAACTGGTATCTTCAGTGCAAATACATATCCATAGCATAGGTTAGTCAATTCTAAGTGCAAGGACATACTTATTCTGAAACAAATAGGATTACAAGCTACGCAATGCAATCTCTTCCTTCTAGGATCTCAGTCCAAAACCAATGCATGTTTACAGGAGGAAAACTCCACCTATGGAATATATTCTGGAAAGATTCTTAGAAAAGATAACAAAATGGTAGAATGCTTTCTTGCATCAAATTAATGATAGCAGTCAGTTATTTACCATGAGAAAAATTTGAGAGACAGAATAAATTAGCTGAGCTCTATGTTTGTTTGTCTGCACAGTGTCATATACCATCATCATTCACCAACAAGTAACCTTCATGAAATACAACATGACTGACTTAAAATGGCATGCTACAGTCATTTTTGAATTAATTAAAATAGAAACTTTTGAAAAATACCACCTGACAATCCTTTCACGACTTTCCTAGATATTGTTTAACAGTCTGATCTGTGTAGAATACTTTACCTAGAGCTATAATAAAAGGAAGGAAAATATTTTTTCCCATAATGGATTTGTAAAATTATCAAAAATAAAAAATCCCACAGACTAAAGAGAAGGTATTGAAACTTGGTATTTTAATGTTTCTTGATACTAAAGTACTGCCCTGGGTATGTAGGATGCTACCATTTCACACATCATCTCATGTACTGGGGGATCCTAAACCAGACAGTGACTGCTTTCTGATGGAACTGAGGTTCTCATGCCAAACTTCTTCTGAACGCGTTTTTAATTATTGATTAAAACTTGTTTGAGCTATCTCTAGCAAACAGAAACTTGGATCAGGTAGCAAGGAATCAGACAATGTGTACTAAAAATTTAGCAGATGCCCTGCAAGCACATCACAATCTCCTGACCCCTTGACCATATTTTTTTTTCTCATTGTTATTTAGTAATGTGGATTTGTTTTCCAGGATTCCTCCCCTTTTGCCTACATGCACAGGAAGCAGTCAGAACTGCCTGCAGACAGCCTGCTCCTTTTCAGACTGCTATTAGGTCCAGAGATCAAGGGTACATTTCAGCCACAAAGTGCTGTGTGCCAAACCCAGGGTGCCTAGGGTTAGCCAACTTTTCATTTTGGGTAAAATGGTGTCAGTGGTGCTCTGCTGGTTTGCAGCATCTGAGGATCTGTTCTGCTGTGCTGCCACTGTTTGGTCAGGAGGAATGATAAATGCATATCCCCTTGAAATAAAATCAATTTGGTGACTAAAACAGATCTACCAGGAGGACCAGACTGACATCTTGTCATTTATTAGTTCCAGACATGGATCTATATTTGCCCTATGGGATCTTGCACTGGGAGAGCCTGATTTAGTAGAACATTTTAATTACAACACATGTCCAGTCCATTAAGCTGATCTTTCTTTCTGTGACTGCCTCAGAAAGCAGCTGGTCTACGACTTCAGTCTCCTTCTGTGCAATATTAAGTAATATTAGTCATGTTCTCAACAGCTACTGGAAAAGTTGTGCTCAGTCAGGAAGAGCCTTCAGGTAGGTATCAGATATTTTATGAGGGGTCTACACATGAGGTTGTTTTATTAATTTAAATATGGGGTTGTTTCACAAATACAGTTTTGGCACTTTTTCAGGAATGGTGGCTTACAATGTCTTCAATTTCCATAGTCATGAAGGGAAAAGGGAAAACCTCCATAAAAACTCTTTCAGTATTAGAAGAGCCACAGTAGCCAGATAATGTATTTTTGCTGAGATATGAGTGTTTGGACTCTCCTAGATCAGCACACAAGAGATGACTCAATGAACGGAGTTACTGCTGTCCATGGCTTGCAGGATTCTCACACTCATTGTGCTGAAACTGGTGTGCCAGTGAAGCACCAAGCAAATACCACTTCTCTGCATTCACCTTGTATGGGACAGTGACTCTCCCTTCTTCCTTCCTTCTCTCCCTCACTCTTCTTCTTTCCTTCCCTCTTCCTGTTCCGCAAAACAATCTTCAAAAAGGCACATATAAAAGCTGTGGCACACATCAGAAGAAGTGAAGGAGTCGTAGCAGGTGTTGAGCATAAGAGTACCATCTGGGGCAATCTAATGCCAGTCCAAATAGTCTCCTCCACAACTGCTCAGAAGGGTGGGATGCCATAGTTACTCAGGGTCAAGCAGGCAGAAACAAAAGCAGAAGCTCTGGGTCAAGCCTGCAGATTCTTACAAGAGCCAGTAAGATTGAGCTATGCTATTAATTACTAAGCAGTATTAATCCAAGTGAGTGCCAGCTCACATTCTTTCTCTAATTACTTTCGTTAATGTATCATGACATCTTAAAATTGCCCTTGACTCTATGTGAGCCATATTCCAAAAACATGGCACAACCCACATCAGTAAACACAGGAAAAGTATTGCCCCTCCCTACCTGAGGTCAAATTAAGCTAAAATATTTCTCACCTTCCTCAGAAAAAAGCTGAAAAGACCCAAGGCCACCAGTATATACTGATATTCAAGCACCTCTCAAAGCCTACTGCATGAGACTCTTCAGGTTATAATCAACATTTGAAAGGCTTCCAAGAAACAGATGCAATTCAGTCCAGGCTTCACATCTGCAATTTTGTTTGTTAAATGCACTCATTATTAACTCATCTGTATTCTCTATCAGCTGCAACTCCTGGGGGAACTTAAGGATTTTCAGCTCAAAAATATGGATACTGCTAAAGGTTTCTCCAGCAATGATCAACTGAAATGCACACATTTTGTGGCTGGCTATGCTGTGACAGACTAACTAAGAAAACAACTGTAAATTGCATTAATATAAGAATGCATTTGATTCTGAAACTACTCTTTCACTGGAAAAGTAACTACAAATCAGCACATATTTTTTTAATTATAATTTTTAAGGTATCTCACATGCTCAAACTGAAATATGGTGAAGATCTACAATCAGACTTTAAATAACTGGGAGGTGATGAGGCTCACTCTTTTCTGTTATTTCAGGTTATTTTTAGTAATGTAGTTTTGTAGTTTTCATTAGGTAAGTTTTTATCAGGTTCTCTGGAGACAGAGAAATGCTAAGCAACCAATTTGCACTTGTAGTTACTTGTTACTCATGACATTGCATCATACAGCAGAGGATTTATCCAGAACTGGTGATGAGTGACATGACCTCCCCGCCATGAATGCCATGCCTGGTAACACTGTTGGTCATTCATAGTGTATCTTCAGGGTCCAAAGCTCGTATTTCAGGAAAAAAAAAGAACAGACATGCATTTCCTGTATGCCATGAGTGAGATTTTAAAAAACATATTCTATAACTTCCTCTCAAGTGAATGTACAACTCAAAATGATATCAGTGGGAGAAGAGTGAGCTCCAAATTCAATTGGCCACAGCTGCATTTAAGTTTCTAACCTTTTGTATTTGTAATTCCCATGTTTGTAATACTGAGAGGAAAATATTGCTGTAATATTATGAGCACAAAAGCTACAAGGCTCTTACATGTTTTTATTTTCATGTATGTTGCATATTTGAGGCCAGCAGCTAATGGTAAAATTACACCCATCGTACATAGTCACAGTCCATATCTTTAACAGTAAGCTCTCAGTGTTAGTTCTTAAGATGCTAAGGAAAACAAAGGATATGCTGTCTTATGTGGAAGGGATAAAACTCAAGTGCTACAAATTATTTTTGCCTTTTATATTCCAAAACCATAACATGGTTTGCAAGATCTATATGCAGGTTTGTTCTGAGGTTTTGTATTCAGGTACTGGCATCACAAAGCCAGTACTCTGTTACTAACCATTATGATTTTTGATCTAGTAATATGTAGGAGTCAATGGCAAAGGGAGCATTGTATGAATAAGCTCTATACAGATGTGTGCTCCTAGGTAGGCCCTGCTTTTTTAAACAGTCTGTTGATTGAACACAGTAACAT